ATTAAGCAGCCAAGCAGGGAATTATTGTTTATACCTTGTGTTTATTTGTTTATAAGCTTTTATTAAGTGAACATAGTTTATTGTATTAGACTATTGAGAGATTGAAATGAGAGATTTGTCAATAGATTTGTGATTAGGTTGCGTCTTCTCTTTTAAAACTTTAATGATGTACATAAGTAGTGTACATTCAACAATATTTGTAAACTATTTGTTACATAGAAAACGTATTAAAAAAATCGTGTTACACATGGTGTCCTAAATATTCAACAGATGCATGTATTATAAATGATTCCTTATCAAGTAAGTTTGCATAATTTATGTAAACATAGATTGTTTACCTGTAAACTTATCATATATTATCTTATAAAAGTTGTTTGTGTGCTAGCTTATCGCGGATGGAGCCTCCTATAGTGTGAGGTCTCGGGTTTAAGTCCATTTAAAGGGATTTTATTATTGCTAATGCATTTTCCAAGTTGTACCTAGGCGTAAAATTAATTTGAATTTGAAAGCATTATATTCAAGTTTGTAGACTCTCACTAAATATTAAAAATTATTTTAAAATTCTGCTGTCCTGGAAGATTCGAGAAGATCAAACTAACAGAATATTTCAAGGACCTAAGGGAGACCTGCTATATAGGATGCGCCTAGACACAAGGAGGAAAGGGGTAATGAATTGTGTGATGTCCAATTTTTCGCTTGTTAAAGAACTTGGTTCTTTAACTTAAGTGATTTAGAAACAAATACAAAGTGAAGTGCGAAAATTAAACAACACAATAATTTTACGTGGAAAACTTTTATATTCAAGGAAGTAAAAATCACGACTTACCCTTGTACGATTTGCTTCAAAACTTCACTAATTTTAAAGAGCAATTTTACGTTATAACGCAATAACACTAGTATCGTAACCCTTTCAATCAACCAAATTATAGCTACTCCTTTTCAAACTAACTCTAATTAGTGTTGGCATCCAATTTATCAAGTAAACAGGTGTTGAAGGCATATGACCAGATGAAAACATGAAGATTGACTAAATGTAGGCAGTGACATACGCATGATTTTTCATAAGCAGTGTCATGATTTTAAATAGCAAATAAAACAATAATTCACTATAATAACATATTAAAAAAATTTAATTCAAATATTTTTTATAAAACACAACTCAAGTATATTACTAGATATGAATTTTTATTTTTTGAAATGTATTCAACATAACATCATTAAAAATAATATTAAATATTTTTTTATATATAGAACACCAAGTAATCACACAAAAACTCACCATACATTCGATTATGTAAATTGCTCTTAATCAATTTCATTTCAATGCTTAAAAAGAAGATGGAAGGTAAAAAATTAAAATGCAAATCAGATAATTTATTGTGGCATAAAATGTGAAAATATTACTCTTGATCCATTGGTTTAGTGTAACGTTAATGCTTAAAAGGTCAATGCTTCAATCATCAACATATTTTTTATTTCTAGATGAGGCATAAAGAATTTAAAACAAAATTGAAGCTACAGTGGTTCGAACTAGTGACATCCTCAAAAAAATTGTAGTGACTAACCAATTAAGCTACACAACTATTCATGTCAAGTGATGTCACTTTATTATATTTAGCCATTTTCCTATTGGATTTTAATTATACGTTCTTAATGAAATTTTTCGAACAAGCAGTGTCATATGACACCGCTTGAGCTAAGGTAGATCCGTCCCTGAATGTAAGAGGGTAAGACCAGTTTCCACAATATGTCTATGTTACCGCTCGGCAGGTGCATTGTATTCCAATGTATATGGTGAGGTCAAAAAATAAAATATCCATTAGATTTGAGACAGATAAACTCTCCACTATTATTACTATAGATAGTGATAATTTGTTTATGGAAAAAGTGCTACAGTTTAAGTTTTAATGATAACGATAGCAAATACCTAACTAATTCTAATTTATGCAGGAACTTGGAAGGAAAGAAATGCAAGTGCTGAAATTGACAAAATGAAAAGCAACCAAGCCAGTGCCGAATTTAGCAAAGTCTGGAGCCAATCAATCAACACAAAAGGAAGAGCAATCAAGTTCGAGAATAAAGGAAAATTTGTCAGAGATCGTGATTGGCAGAGTTCATATTTAGACAACAAGCAAAATGGAAGATGGAGTGATTGACGATCAATCAACTACATGCCAATGATTGCTCCTGAAAGTTAGGAAAATACAAGGAAAGAAGAGCATAGCTAAGAATTGAATCCAGCCTTCTTTTATGGATTGGATTCAGAGGCAACCCTTGGGTCAAATCTCTTTGAATATTCTTTGCCTCAATCAATGGACAGTCTACTCAAAACTTGCAACGACTCTGATGACAAGAATAACTCAAGACCTAGCTATATGAAGAACTGAAGAAAGATAATTGTATTCTTGAGTTTAGTAGTGTCACAAAAGATAGGAAGATATAGAAAACAGTCAAGAAGTTGTGTCAAGCATTGAGAACCATTCAAACTGTATTTCGTTAATGGTGATCGAAAGAAAACCATGACCCATCCCTAGACTCCTCCATGGCTCGGATGGATCAATTCTCGTATTATCAACCAAACAAAATGTTAAAAAGTGGTTAGAATGAGGTCCAATACGTTCTAACTCTAAATTCTCTTCACTTTTGACATCCTCGCTTTTGCACACTTCGTCTACCTTGGCATCATCAACAATATTTTAGTCGAATGGTTGGAACTTCTCTTTATGCTCCACAAGCTGGCCAGTATCTATAATAATTAGTTGTTGGGCATCAGACGGCGCGACCTTTTTGTTCAATTGAACCTGCATGTCATAGATATCTGAGCTAAATTGATCTATCTCTTGCATGAGCTCAGTTCTTCCTTCTATCAACTGTTTTTCCATATTTGAAAGGCCATTACGGAGAAATTCATAAAATTCTATTAGTTGAGCTTGCTCCTCTAACCAAAATTGGCTCACTATATCTGCTTCTTCAAAGTTATCTTCTTGTGGGAACTCGCTCTCTTCAGTCAATTCTTCCTCCCTGGATTTCATTCTCGTGATTGATGTACTAATTCTCCTTATTGCTTTTCTATTTCATCTTGTTGCTCGGCTACTTGCCTCACCATGTCTATAATATGAGCAACACGTTCCATATCCTCCATTTCATTCCTCATATCAAACTCACAAACATTATTAGAAAAATTTATAATAAGAGCTCGGAGAAGGATAAAAAAAATTAGGACAGTCATCCCAATGGCCACCTTTACCACCACAGGTATTACAAATATTCCACTCAAAGGATTGAGATTCACAATTTTGCCACAAATGTGGCCCTCCACAATATGGATAAGGATCACCAAAATAACAATAACCAATATTCGACCAATTCTTGTTTCAAGATGCCATGTAATAAAAACAATATTAAACGAAACTAAAACTAAAAACTTGAATAGACAAAAAGTAAAAATCTAATCGAGAAGAACAATGAATTTTTAAGTCCCCGGCAATGGCTCCAAAAATTTGTTGCTCCAAAACGCACACGCAAGTATACGTGATCGACAAGTAATAAATTGATAAGTAGATTATCGTTCTCACGAGGACTTGTAATTAACTAATAACTAAATTAAACTCAAACAATTAATTTATTCAAGCGATTTTCTAAAGTGCGACTATTCAACTATAGCTAATCTAGAGTAGTAAACTAAGAAAGTAAGTCTGCAAGCTTAGAGACGAATTCAATGGGAGAAAATATTCCAGAACTATGGGTCAGCTAACAATCCCGTTGAGTCTTCCACTTAAATTGTCTAATTAATTTATATGGTTAATTGATTGACAGGTTAATATAACTCGTAGCATTCAACCAAAGTACTACTTGCATGTTCAAGTTAATCTAAGGCCTATATTCCTATGAAATTAGAATCAACAATAACGCGTTAATAAGTACCATATAGTAACCAAGCAAGGCGATTCGGTATATCCTTACCCTAACCGCGAATCCATTCTCTGATGCCAGGTTCAAGATCTTGCTATACTCAATCCTATTTGCAATCTAAAATTTCATCTTCCGAGTTCAATCCTTGATTCGTAAATAGTATTTAATTGGTAATCAAGCAATCAAATAGTTAAGCGCAAGACTGAATAAATAAACTAATATGGTAAAATAATAAGAACAATTCAAGCTTCAAACTACAACATTCATGTAGCATCCACAACTCTAGAACTAATAAACTATCAGATTAAAGGAAGAGGAGAGGAAAAAAAATTAGTTGGAAGCCTCCTCCAAACGTGGTCTACGTTCTCTCCTCCAAAGGGGCGTGTTCTCCTCTCAAATTAGGTTTAGAACTCCTTTTATACGAGTTGAGACCGAGTAAGGCCGAAATAACTTGTCCCAGACAAAATGAAAAAAAATCCCGGCAACGGAGGGTCCGGGCCAGCGCGACCACTTGAAGCAGTACGTTTTGCACCTCCAATTCCAATTCCTTGCTCCTAAATTCCAATTCCTTGCTCCTAACTTTCAATTGCATTATACTTTATTAACCAATCAATCATTATGTAATGATTACTCACCAAGTAATCATTATGTAATAATTGAAAATTTATTCTTTTTTCTCCAAAATTTCATCTTTTACTCTCCAATATATCTACATTATCAATTTAACATCCAAATAAGTAGAAAGCTCAATACTCAAGCTAAGTTGGGCATATACAATATAAAATACAATCAAAAAGTGATAAAAATACAGAATAAATAATATCAAAACATGAAATTATGGCCAACATCATTACCAGGATACGATCCGAGGCACCAAAGTCAAGGATTGATAATCTAAGTGATCCATAGTCCAAAAGATTAAGATTGCGTTAGACAAGCGAACATTACATGGTAGACGATGCTAGCAACAGATAAGGATGATGACTATTGCCTTGTTTAATACCAAAGAGAGTCATTATAATCATGATGGAGATGTCTTTCCTAATAGGTCCTTTTGTGTGTAATAATTTTGGAAACAAACTAAGATCCAATTGTAATTCAGCCAATGCCATTATAATAATAAAAATTGTCCCTCTGTTGTTGGGCACTCAAAAGAGAACCACGCTAGTTACTTGCACAAAATCCGTTGGATGTCCCTGTTGTATAATGCACTAGCTTTGGCCCAGACTTTGCAACCGGTTCTGCAGGATCGGGAAAAGGTTGATCAGCTCAAGGTCAAGGAAATTCCATAGAAGAATGCACAGTTGTGCATCTTCTTTAATCCATGCTCCTCAATCAGATATCTGAGAACTTTTGACTTGATGGTCCTAGTATACTTATTCCACGAACCATAATTGCACTGATACCGCCCAAGAGACATGATTCTCGCTACCTGGAAGTTAACATTAGTAAATAGTGGACAAGGGAATTGAGGGAAAAGAGGTGCTCCAAAAATTGAATTTTCCTACCTTTTTCCTTTCTCATTCTTTTCTCTTTTGTTAATGATAAGAAAGCATACAAAAGAAACCAAAAAGAAAGCAGATAACTTTTTTCTGGACCGAAAAGAAAGCAGATAACTTTTTTCTAGGACTTACAACTTGCGCTCTTCAGAGAAGACTCTAAAGCAATCAAAAGTATAATTGAGAACAACAAAAATCAAAATGAAACTGCAGGAATTGACAGAAAAATAATAAGAGAGTGAGAGAACGTAGGGGGTCAAAACCAATACCAAGGACGCCAGAAACTCTTGAGATCTGAGAGCAAGGAATAAGCTAAGGATGGTTCAGGAAGTTCAGTTAATCTTGAAGAAGTATATGTCGACGAGAAGAGATCATCAGAGATGACGTCACACATCAACACATGGCACGGCGATGACAAGGGAGAGGAGGCGTGTGTGAATCGTCAACAATGGGCTTTGGGTGGTAGTGAGCTAGTGTCACTGCGACTAAGAATGCTGTCCTCTGCACTGACAAGCTGAACGGTCCTAGGTTACATAAGAATTGCACCTTTCTCTTCAAATTTCCTTCTTCATAAAGCACAAACAGAGTGAAAAGTAAACCAAACTAACACACTACGAGCAAAATGAGAACATGGGGAAAAGAAGTACCTTCACTGCCACTGTGACGAAAACTGAACCAGCAAACCAACCGTAAAGGCTACAGTTTCACCTTCACCAGTCATACAGAAATCCTAGGCAATCCCCGGTGCCTCGCCTCTTTGTCAGCCTGGTGCAGCTATGCTGGGTCTGATGTCTTTCGTTCTTCTAATCTTGAATTGTTATTACGGGAAAGTTCCAGCCTTTTGAGAGAAAGCGGTGACGATCAGTCCTAAAGTGATCCTCAGGCTTCCAGCAATGAGAAATCAGAAACTCCTCAATCAAAACCTTGCCAGCTTTTGAAGAGAAAATTGTGGTGTTAATGGCTGGGACTTTAACCAACTTTCTTGGCCACACATGTCAAGCACAATTTAACTTTTTGGTTATACAAGTGGGGAATAAATTTGAGAAGATTCAATCATACACAAATAGCCAGGCGATCTCATACAAAATAAGAGTTGGTTCTAGGGACGAAGTGGCTTAGTCGAACATAGTGAGAATAAGGGACGAAAGGTCAAACCCAGAAATGTGCAAGTGAGACCCAACAAAAAACGTTTTTCGCATGAAAGAGTGGAAAAGGAGAAAGAAGATTCAGCTGTTGAGAAGCCAGAACAAGTTATAATGTAGGGGTATGGCTTCTGAGGTCAGACAAGAATGGGTCAACTCACATGGTACAAAATGTCCTGAGGAAAGCTAGAGACTGACAAGAGAATGGAGAACAGATAGCTGGCAAGCTAAAATGACGTATCTGGGTTGTAAAGTGGAGAAGTTCCCAACAGTTTATTTAGGGTTTCCCTTGGGAGCGAAGAGGTATGATCATACTATTTGGCAAGGGGTGCTGGACAGGTGTGCTAAAAAGTTGATTCCATTGAAGAAATAATACTTATCTTTTGGGGGTACACTAACACTAATAAATAGTGTGTTAGATGGAATGCCAACTTATTTGATGTCTTTATTCCCAATGCCTGCAACAGTGGAGAAAAGAATGAATTCCATGAGGAATCAATTCTTATGGGATGGAAATGCCACTAAGAGGAGAATACATTTAATTAAATGGCAGGTGGTAATGAATGATAAGAAAGGTGGAGACCTTGGTGTAAGAAACTTGAAATTGCATAAAAAGTGCATGCTCTTCAAATGGCTATGGAGATACATGCTGGAAGGAGGAAGTCTGGGAAAATTTGATAAATGCTATTTATGACACCAAAGAGAGAGTGGAGACCTTCCTCTTTGCATACAAATGCAAGAGGGGGGTATTTGGAAATGCATTAGCAGACTAAGGGAAGAATTCCTAGGTTACACTAAACTGGAAGTGGGGAATGGACAGAATTAAATTCTGGACAGATTTATGGATAGGAGATGAATGTCTGAAAGCTAAATATCCTAGTCTTTTCAATTACTCTGTTAACAAGGCTGGAAACATTGCTGATTTTTACTCGGATACAGGGCGGCAGGTAGTATTCAGAATTAATTTGGATGATTGGGAAGTTGAAGATTTCTGTCACTTGCTCCAACAACTAGAAGTTGTTTTTATTGATCAAAGCAAGGTGGATTCATTGATCTGGGCTGCTGCTAGTGAGGGTAAAACTTTTTCAGTAAAAAGTTGTTACAAAATGATGATAGAGAAGTCAAGATATAGGGTTACCAATTGGCCTTGGAAAATGATTTGGAAGACCAGAGCACCAGTGAAGGTAGCATGCTTTGGATGGTCAGCAACGTGGGAGGTTTGTTTGACTCAAGACAACTTGCAGAAAAGAGGCTTCAGTCTATGTAATAGATGTTATCTGTGTGAAGAGGAACAGGAAACAGTGAACCATCTTCTCCTCCAGAGTATCTAGACAGTGTTGGGAACTTGGGATATATTCTTAAGCATTTGTGGCGTTTCTTGGGTGATGCCTCAAACTGTAAGGGGTTTACTAGAAAATTGGCAATCTCAGAAAATACCTAGAAGACTAAGCAGATCTGGAGAACCATTCCATTGTGCATCATATGGACATTATGGCTGGAGAGGAACAAAGTTTGTTTTGAAGGGCATCGAAATCACATTATTAGAATTAAGAATAAAAATCTTCATAATCTGTATTATTGGTGCAAATGCAGCCCCTTAGGAAATCTGGATCAGTATATGGAACTTCTGGACATGCCGGGGGGATAGGATAGAAGGTGGATAATGTTGTTTGGGATGTTTTTTGTATCTTTTTGTACCATCTTGATACCTTTTTAATAAACTTTTACCTTATCCAAAAACAATGACGTATCTTAAGTCATACGAGTTTATTCCCATAGAACTAGAGCAACGGTTATCACACAGATGTCGCACATTTAATAAATCATACAAAGTAATTTACTGCAAATATTTTGCAGTTAGGCAGGAGTATATTAAAAATTGAAATTTAAAAACTTTTTTAAATGCATTACTATGGTTCATTCAGAACAGAACATCCCAAAATCGCTAGACTGCAGAAAGAATAGCTATAGACTAAAACCGTACCTCCATCGGCTGATGTATTCTGAATCCTGGTTTGAGTTATCAGGTAGTCTTCCATCAAAGTGAACAAATGCAGACTAAATCTGTCATTATATTTCAAGTCACAACTAAAATAAACTAAAAGGTCCAGCGACTATGATGTTATACTAACATGAAGAGCAGCATCCCATTGCCATGATACTTTGCGGAGATTAAGGTTGCTTTAACGTTGGCAATATCTGAGAAGAAGAATATGCCAGTCATACACAACACACGCATAGAATTGGGAGGTATATCCTACAAAATGGTAAATATAAGCTCAGCACTTTAGACTAATGAACAGGAAAAAGGTCACCATATAGCATTCCCAAAAAATAGTTCATCCCTGCCCTTACCCTCCCCTGTAAGGGCTACCATAACAGCACATAACAAACCTGCATTATAACAGATTCCTGTGGTCACAAAAAGAAGATATACTTTGCAGTTCCTCAATCCAATGGCACTTAGCAGCTGAACCAATATGGAAACATTCTTGTGCACAAACAACTGCAAATAAGGCAGAGTGTACAGGAGGATGCAAAACAGAATTCTTTTTTTTTTTTGTCTCTTTTAAATGCATTACTATGGTTCATTCAAAACAGAACACCCCCAAAATCGCTAGACAGACAGAAAGAATAACTAAAACCATACCTCCATTGGCTGATGTATTCTGAATCCTGGTTTGAGTTATCAGGTAGTCTTCCATCAAAGTGAATAAATGCAGACTAAATCTGTCATTATATTTCAAGTCACAACTAAAAGAAACCAAAAGGTCCAGCGACTATGATGTTATACTAACATGAAGAGCAGCATCCCATTGCCATGATACTTTGCGGAGATTAAGGTTGCTTTAACGTTGGCAATATCTGAGAAGAATAATATGCTACAGTCATACGCAACAGACACGCATAGAATTGGGAGGTACATTCTACAAAATGATAATAAGCTCAGCACTTTAGACTAATGAAATGCAGGAAAAAAGTCACCATATAGCATTCCCCAAAAATAGTTCATCCCTCCCCTGTAAGGGCTAACCATACCAGCACATAACAAACCTGAACTATAACAGATTCCTGCATCATACAAAGACCAATATAGTCACCATGATATCAGTTACATATAATGATAGAAATTTGAACGTTTTGCCAAAAAACACAAAAAACAGAGCATGCAAACATTAATTTACGCATTATTATAACTGGAGTAGAGGATGGGATGACTTGTAAAAAGTGATCTTATTGATAAATCAAAATCTATGTACAAAAGACGTTCCCTGACCTGTATTGCTAAACCAAATACAGTGTTTCTACATACTACGACTACGGTACTGGCTTGACCATTGTACAAAAAGATCTTTACAGTCAAAGTCATCAACTTATAGGTACAAAACCCTTCCTTCCTCGAAGGGTTCACTCAAAAATGTAGCGGTACACAGGTATCCCAAAGAATATGCAGCCCTACTTAAGGACTGCACAGTCACACAACCCACATGTAATTGGTGGTCGTATCTGGACAACAAGGTTTCTCCAGTGAATGGTAATGAACAGGAATATACAGCAAAAGAAGCTTCAAACCATCATATTCAAGTCTGACAGATCATCCATGGGAATCTCAAGGCCCATGAAGTCATCATCTTGTAATCCATCATCATCGATGTTCAACCATGAGCCTATGTCCTGTCCCTGACCACCAAGATCGTCAGGGACACCTAAAACATCCATTTCTGGGAGTTGCAGGCCGGATAAGTCAATGGGATCCTCTAGTTCATCCAAGTTACAGCCAGTCTTATCATTTCCAGTGGCACTTATACCACTTGACCTTGCTATTGAAGATCCTAGCAATTTAGGTTGCTCCGATATCTTGCCAAAAAGGCCATTGACAGAGGTGGATAACTGAGTAGTTTTCTGCTTAGGTTTTGTCTTAGGCTTTCTTTCTCCTTTAACATTGGAAGAGGCAGGTCGACCAATTTTGGTTGTTCCATTGCGGGATAATGCCTCTCGGCCATTTCCTTTTCCTTCTCGGTCTCTCTCACTTCTCTTCCCTTTTGCACTGCTTAAAAGTGAACCACCTATGCCTGAAGAAGCACCAATGGTAGTACCAAGAACATCTTCCAACTCCCTCCGCTTGACCCTACTGGCTTCAGAAGGTAAATTGGCTTCAAAAGATATATCCTGGTTTAGCGATGGGCTCTGCTGTGTGCCCAAAGCTGCAGAAGAGATATAATAAAAATTTAAGCGAGTGTTATACTCAATTAACATGCCATGCTTCATAATTCTACACTTGTTCCCCACATTCACGTAGATAGAAGAGGAAAAAAAGAATACCTGAAACTCTAGCTTCTCCTGAACAGCCAGATGTGCTGATATAAGATTTTCCAGCTTCGCCATCAGTGTTCGAATCTGTTTGTCCATCACTAAGGCGGGATATCCCAGAAAGAAACAAATCATTATACAAAGGCTCACTGAAGCAGCTCTTTCTTGTCTGCTCAAATTCTTGGCATCGATCCAAAGTTCGCTTGACAAAAGCTAAGGCAGCTTGCTTGGCCATTTTCCCGCTAGCACTCTTCATCCCATGAGCATTTGGGCCCCAACAACTCTGTCGAGGCAAAATCATTTCAATTCAACAACTTCAAGATTCAAATTACAAGATTTAAGAAGACAATTTCATGTTTCACACAGTTCTGAAGTGCATTACAGCAATATAAACTATAATAGATATTTCTATGATACTACTAGCGGCAAAGTTAGTTGATGTATACATAACTATTTGAAGAACAAGAAAGAAGGAAATACAAAGTGTACACAGAAAGGCAATGAAAACTGTGGTGGGTTCTTCTTACGCAAAGACACAGACAAAGTACATCAGCAGAATATCACCTTGTGTCACAATAATAATACATGTGGAGCACAGGAAGTAACATACAAGAATTAAAACTATAACTTAAACTTCCTGTTTTGGTTTTGGGGATCAAAACCAGATGAACAACATGGCATCAGTTTTTGTTTAAGCAGAATTTGAAAAGTAAAGAGGCAAGTTTAATAGAAGTCCTGCATGAAACAGTAAGGAACAAAATTTACTTCTAAAGCAAAGTAAAAATTTGCAACTGATACAAGTTCGCATAAAACTCAAGCTGTATAAATAAATTACTGAACCAACCATTACTTAGCTTCAAGCTCCTTTACCCGGAAAAACAAGAAAAAGAAAAAAATCCACCAAAGATGGAAACAGAAAATGTATCTTGGTCATATTAATTTGACCATATTCACATGAAGAAGTCTTGATTCATCATTGTAATACGAAACAGAAGTTCTCACCATAAACATAGTGCATTATCTCTGAAATCCAGTCCCTCGAGTAGAGAAGCAGTTAACTACACTTGATCCCTTTTTTCCAGGGATGTAAATCTAAATTTAAGAACAGAAAGTGCTTAAAAGCTTCAAATTACCATATATTTTTCGTATGCCATTGCAACCAGTTCATCAAGAGCACGCTGTTCAAACTCCCTGTATGATAAATAATTTGAGTTGTTACCAAAATGAATAGTACTAAGCAAAGATCAAGGTTAGGCATCTGAAAGAAGCATAAAATTATGTACTTCTCCTGTAACTCTCTCATCTGTGTAGCTGAATTCAGCAGTTTCCCAAGCATCCTCTTCTTCTTAGAAACCTACAGAATAGGCAATCCATGAGTAAGGCTCCCAATACAGAAACCAATTGCTTGGAAGTTTCAGAACAATAAAGGAGACTAAGCCCCTGTTTGTCTTTATTAAGATTAAGATGTTTGATTCTGAACACGTCTTACTATTAGGATGTTGTCTCTAGATCAGTATTTGAATGGGCAAAGTTTATCTTTTCTAAAGACTAGTAAATCTAAAATCTAAATAAAGTAATAATTAAATATTACATCCATAAGATATTGAAGAATTTTAATTTACAAGGTGTTGCAAAAACTGTTTGTTTAATGAAGCACACTCTACCAGCGAGTGGCAGTGGCAGCTAGTGGTGGTTGTGCGTTCGTGGCTAGAGGTGATGGTTGTGCGGTGGTAACTGGGGTAGAGGTAGTTGGTGGTGGTGGCGCGGTTGAGGTTGGTTGGTGAGGTGGTCAGCCCAGCAGTGTCAGTGGAGGGGTTGGTTGGTGGTGTGGCTGGTTGTTGGTGGTTGGTGGCATTGGTTGGTGGTGTTGGTCAGTGGTGGAGGTGGTGGTCGATGATGGCGAAGGTGGTGTTCGCGATGGTGGTGGCGCGGTTGAGGTTGGTGGTGAGGTGGTCGGCCCCAGCAATGTCAGTGGAGGGGGTGGTTGGTGGTGCGGCTGGTTGTTGGTGGAGTTGGTTGGTGGTGGTGTTGGTTAGTGGTGGAGGTGGTGGTGGATGGCGGCGAAGGTGGTTGGTTGTGGTGGTGGTTGGTGGCGGCTGGCAGTAGAAGTGTTGGTTGTGATGGCTGGGAATGAAGGTAGGTGGTGGTGGTGGTGGCTAGCAGTAGAGATAGTTGGTGTGGAGGTGGTTGGTGGCGGAGACGGTGGTTGCTTCATGGTGGTGGCTCACTGTAGAGGTGGTTGACAGTGGTAGTTATGCAGTGGCGGCAGGTGATGATGGTGGCTGGCAATGGTGTTGGGCAGTAGAAATTGGTGGTGGATGGTAGTGGGCAGCGTAGTGATAAAAAGTAACCTTCACCTGAATTGAACATCTATAATAGATTTGAATGAGTCAGACATATTAAGAGCCAATAAATGGTTGTAAAAGGAGAAAAAAACAATATTCACTTAATGGGGTTAAGATCTGAATGACTCGGGTCCAGACTTCCATTAAGTGAAAACAAACAGGCCTATATCATTATATCTTATTCCAACAAGTAGGATATAGCACCAGCGTAGAGATAGACTTCAGAATGCTGATAGTCACAGATATTCTGTGAAGCTTAACTGCAGACACCCAAATGTGTTGTGAAAAATATAGATATGGACAACCAGGGATAAAAAATCTAATTGAACTTCACGCTTATAACATCCGACCTCATAAGAGGAAGCATCCAATCCCTTCTCATTAAGGATGGAAGAATGTGTGGACTTGAAAAGCTGACTCATTCTCAGACCATCACCAGTTGACTCGAATTAAAGGGAGTAACAGGAAATGTCGGGTAAACAAGGACGGGCAGAGGAAAGGAGATTCTTCTAAGATGTATGACTTCAGAAAAAGGATAAAACTTACCATTTCATGGTGTTTCTCATGTAATTTACTAATTTCTGCACTGATCTCTTCATTTCCAGTCTCAGCAAAATCAGACTACATGCAGAATAAGCAATCAGCAAAACAAGGATTAGTAAACTCTGAGAAGATATAGCTCAAAGCACAATACTATGCAACATGCTGAAATTCCAACAACCTACCTCCAGGTCCGGATATATTCCGATACAGCGAATCTCCATGAGAAGCCGCTCATTAATTGACATCTCATTATACTGATACTCGGAACAAACAAAGCCAGGCATTGTTTGTTGTTCTGAAAGTAGACCATTTTGTGACTGATCATAGCTTGAAAAATTCCCCATTTCGAACGCGGATGTAACATTATCGGCCTTAATGTAGTCCAAATTATCAACGGAACACCCATTAGCATTTATGCTGTATCCATTAGAAGCACAGTATCGGGATGTTTCACTGCTATATAACATCTGCCCACAGGAAGTATGAGATTCTGAATCCATCTCGATTTCAAATCCAGATCGATAAACATTGGAGTTAAGGTCTTCCTTTCCATTGCAATAAAGCTCTTCAGGTACTATAGCAGCCAACAGCCTCTGGTACAAGGAAATACCCTTGGGTTTACTTTTTCCAGAGACTACATGTTCTGAGGTAAGATCGGAACTCTGTGTTTCATTTGTCTGTCCCCCGACTTCATTCAACCCAAAACCACTAATTAAACTGGAAGCATCAGTATCAAAAGTCACAGAGGCTGCTGCTGCCAGATTTGTCTCATGATTTATCTGTTAACAGAAGAACAATACGGATTAGTGTATATCAGAAAGTCATAAGTAGAGGGAAGTCTAATTAGCGATATCGAGCAACTATGGTATTATTTTACAGTATTGAATTGTCTGCATATTATCACACACTATTATTGATCAACTAAAATTCATGAGACCTGCTATGCTACTTTAGATATGTCGATCGCAAGTACACACTAATAACCAATGTAAAACTGCAACAATATAGAGGAACCAATTCACATGTTCCACAAAATAAACTGCATGCTCTTGTGTGCATGCTCGTCACTCTAACACAAGAAAATGGAGACATGTGATTTCACATTAAAGAATATATATATAATGCTCATCAAGCTTTCAAAAGGTAATGGGAGAAAATCCAGCTTCTAGCAAGACTCTTCACTTGGTCCCTCTCCCCTCGAGGAACAATTTCCAGAACTCTACAATGTTTTTACCAATCCTATTCGGTGATTTCAGACTTCATATCTAACAAGGTTGGGACATCACATTCAGGAGGAACTGCAGTGATTGGTATCTTAAGAGGGCATGTCTCTCTTACAGCTGCTGAGCAACTCCTCCCTTCTCCAGTCTACACCGCACTGTCTCCTATGGAAAGGACAACCCAATGGAACATTCCAGATCATGCTACTCGATCTTAGCAAGCCTAACTCTCCCACCCCCAACTGGCTTTAGAGAAAATCTGGAAGAATACAGCTTCTTACAAGGTGGTGCACTTCACATGGTTAGTGACAACAGAGGCACTTATGACACAGCAAAATCTACAGAAGAGGGGTTTTCTATCTTGAAGTAGATGCCCTTTATGTGGGGAACAATCTGAAGATGTCAAAACACCCTTTCTTGCTTTACAGAATCACATACCAGATCCGGATCTTGATGTTTGCCCTATTGAAATTAAAATGGTCTATGCCTTGCACAACTTTGGAACTGCTCCAGTGCTGTTACAGGACGGGTCTGAGCAGAAGATTAACAAGTGAATGAAATTCCAGTCCAGTGGGTATTTGGCGGGTCATTTGGAACGTTGTTTTTGAAAGTGCAAAGCACAAAAAGAAAAAGAAACAAGGTCCTGGGACTTGAAGCGGAAAGCGAGAAGCGAGCGCATGCTTCGTTGAAGTGAGATTTAAGAACCAACCACATCTCATTGAGATCACTTCATGTATCATTACTTGAAGCACACAGCTTCATCCAAGCAGCAATAACTCCTCATTTTGCTTGCTTCAGTGCTTTAAGCAACAAAGCAATGACTTTTAATAACACTGTTTGGAGGAATGGAAGATTAGAATTCTTTAGGGCAACAAGGAAAATGTAATTAGTCTCGAACATAGATTTGTTGTTTTGCTCACTTCTTGGTGCAACATGACAGATGTAGATATGTAGATTGTCATGCTAGACTTACTCAGTTCGTAACCCAACTTGTAATGCAACTAAACCCACACGTAACTCCTCTTCTGCACTCTATTATTGTTGGAAATATCTAATACGTTCTTGAATCTTTACTTATCAAAAATATAAGTATGCTCATCAAAATAATAGCTTCGCATCCTAGAAATGGAAGAAAGGGAGCTTCCCTCGACCACTCATATCAATTAACTTACACTTGCCTATGGNCCCCCCCGCATCTTTTATTATTCAACTTCTTATACTTTTATATTTGATGATTAAAGAATGTTCGAAGACCTGAACTTTGTTGCTCCTCCAATTTTATTTTGAGCATTAAAGGGTACACCAATTGGAAGATGATGTTCACAAATCCTTCCCTTCTCAGCTCCTTCGAAACAGACTATACTATAGATGTTTAATATGAATAGAGATAGTAATATAAGGATAATCGTCACAAGATATGGCAACAACGACAGCCACCACTTGACTCTATAATGAAAAGTAATTCGGAGTGGGGGAAGAAAAAAGCATATATCTATAAGCAACTAACATGTATACATGATAAGAATTACATAAAAGACTTCCAAAGTTCTTTTTTTCCTCCACAGAATGTGATGCATGGAAATAGTCATACCGACAATTTCCAGTTCCCGTGGCAGCACCCCAAAAAAAAGCTGATATCTATGTGTTATAAGCAATCGATACGGCAGGAGATCAATCTTGCCATTATCGTCACAATTATAACACCTAAATGAGTTGCTCAAATATCCATATTTAATACACAAGTCTAAAAAAGAAGACAAGTTGCTCATATGCTTATAAGTAGATACATAAGTCTAAAAAAGAAGACAAGTTGCTCATATGCTTATAAGTAGATACATAAGTCTAAAAAAGAAGACCTTCCACCTGTTGCCTCAGAAAGGCTGTGTCCATTTCAGATATAAAACGAAAAATTGGCTCCATCTGCTTCCAGAATGAGCTCGAAAGGGCTTGAGCTGCAATAGAAATAGGATCATTAATAAGATTTTGTTTAATCAACAAATCAATAAATAAGTAAATAGCAACGCGTTAAGTCAGTGCCAAAAAGATAGATTTTTCCAAAGAAATCTAGAAAAAGCAGGTGACTGATAGTATACCAGTGTTAGTAACAGCACTTGCAGCAGCCAATAGCTCTTCATGGCCATCATCTGAACCAACTAAGGAGAAGTAACAATAAAAATCAATAATTCAGCACCTATAGTAATCAAACCTACATTGAGGCTACAATACCTAGAAAATCCGCTGCAGCATCCATCGTGGCAAGCTTCTGTCGTTTATAAGCCTTACGATCAGAGAGCTTTCTTGTAGGTGGTCTGCCTCCTTTGCTGCACCAAGTAGTTGCATAAAATCATAAGTTTTTCTGTTGCACCAAAATGTAGCAGAAAAAGCATACCAACTGTCAATTGGAAAGGAGAGAATGTTCAACCTTTCTGTCTTGTCCAGAGCATGTCTAGAGGTTCTAAGTTGTTTTGCAGTCCCAACATTGCCAAGCTTTTCAGCCATCAATGGCATTAGGGACCTAGTGGAGGTAAACCCCCTGCCACTCCGCCCTTGCCTGCGAATACCATCTCCAAAGTCTTGTCCACTAACCACCTTATTTTTCCTTGGCGGTAGCAGCAGTGTTGACATCTTTTGCACATTCCCAGCTTTTTCATCCACTTCGTCAGACCTCTTGCTCTTGTCTTTAGACTTGACTTCAGCAGCTCCTAATTCCTCAGTTTCAGATACAGCTGGAGAGAAGACATCGCTTTTTAACTTCTGTTGAGGGGAAGAGCTAGACAAATGTCTCTCATTACGTAGAACATCGCTTGTGGTATCCAGGGTAGATATTTCGTCATTATTCGGAACAATGGGAAAATTGTTCCTTCTTGCGGGTCGAGATATCTTCTGGGGCCTTTGGCTGGCCCATTGAGCAACAGGTGGTGATGAGGACCTTGTAGAAGGGTTGCGCTTGCGATTACCTGCCCCAACAGCAGATGGAAGTTTGTTTGTGCATTGAGAGATTTCCCAATCATTTGCAGCAGCTGCGCGCTGAACCGGAGGAGATAACTTTGGTGCAACGCCTGAACCTGATCGTGGAGCCCTAGTAGCAGAATTCAATTTCGTGCTCGATGTAGGGCTAGGGGATGTGAATTCTTGACGAGCAGCTGCTTTCATTGTACTGGATGAATAGAATAGATAAAACTGTGTAAGGAATGTAAAAATAGGAGGAAAAGAATACCTAGAGAAAGAAATCTCTCGTAACAGTTTTTTAAAGCATAAGCTCGCAAAAGAAATTGCAAAGACCAGTCTACAAATTCAACCAAAATGAATGAAAAAGGAAGTGCAGAAAAAGGGTCTCTCATACTTGCTGACTGCTTTGAGATTCACCCTTTCTTTCTCTGAGCCAAGAGGACGATCTCTCCCATCTAGGAGATGAAGATGGTTATCTTGGTCAATCTTAGACAGGGAAGAACGTACGCCTAAGGTAACATGCTGTGTTGCACCATCAGCTTTTCCAGCAGCACCAGGAGCAAGCCCATGTCTAATTGAACCAAAAGAAGATCAGTTCAAAATAACAAGAAGTGCTTCTGAATATAACAAAAAATTACAGTTTTACCACTTATGCCTTCACAAGAATGATCTTGAACCTTCATGAGAAAAAAGATTTAAATGCGCAGCAATTGAATAATGCGTATCCATGAAGCATGGTATTTGCTCTCATCAAATTATAACTCTTCCTTTTTTGAAAAGTTAGTAATAACTTTTCCTATTACATCTCCAATGACACATGGAAGAAGATACTTTCTTCTATAAACTCACCAAAACCCTGTTTGACCGAATTGACTACCTCCCAGTAAGAATGTAAGATAACCAAATTGATTTTCAAAAGAAGTATATATCTCTTGACCTTGAGGGCTAATACTATGATGGAAACTAAACAGCATGTCCAGTATTCAAAATTCACCATCTTATTTCTAGCACGAACGATTAACTGAAGGCTAAAGCTCACCAATTTCTTCAACTTCACATCAATCCCATATAGAATACGATGCAAGATGAAACACAATCATGCCAGAAATAGGAAGTTACTTGTCATGGCTTGTCAAAGGAAATTTTGAGGGTCAAATATAGTTATGCCACTACCATAAAATTTAGCAGTTCCATGTATGGGTTAATAAGTACTGTGCCATTTCTTTAGAGCACAAACTTCCAATAACTACCTAAAATGTCAGCAATTATGCCTGAAATGTCGATAATTAGCACCCCAAAAAAATGTAAGTTCTCTATCTTTTGGTATACCTCTTGTATACATAAGCTTTTGCGATTATTACTGAATATATTTCTTACTTGATCAAAAAAAGGATAAACTGAAATTTTAACATAAGGTAACAATTCAAGATGTCATGACAACAGATGCATAAATCCGTAACAGACATTGAGTAACACCCAGCTTTTCATGAGAGTCCTCATGCCAGCTTACTGGACACAAAAAGAAGTTCACTAACAAGTAAGTAACAACATTAGGGTATTAAAAAATTCTCTCCTATTCCTATAGCCGTCCTCACTTCTCTCTACTTCATATGGCCCCACAAGCACACCTTAAGACTTCTTAAGTGCCTAATTATAAAAGAGGAACAAAAAACGACTCAATAAAGCAACTGAAATAACCATAAGATATTATATCAAATCAACCCCTACCTTTTCTCCAAACACAAAAGATAAGAAGGGTAAGAAGCTTCAGTTTACATATGACAAAAAGACTTCAAATTTTTACTTTACCAAAAGTGGCAAAGGACCACTACTTTTCTGGACTTAAGCAATTGGGACAATTTAGTTACAGTGACATTGTTGCTGAGAGAGAAAGCACTTCTCAACTAATCTCAGAAAGGTAGTCTACGAAAAAATAACAAATACTACTTTAAGGACGTGTATATGATCCTGCAGAAAAACATTTAGACGATATGACAGAAAAAACCTGAACACATGTGTCACTCTGATTTTAAATTAAACATTGACAGTTGAAGCACTACCTGAAGCCATGGGTATCAGTAAATCTTGATCGGCTATCACTAGGAAGCCGCGGCTGCACTCCTTGCTTCGGTTCCCTGTGGCCATCAATAGGTTTTGTCGTTATGGAGCCAGTAGCATCTGATTTTATTCCAGAACGCTTCTTTTTCATCCTCGACTTCTCCCAACCCTCTGCAGCAATGGATGACGTACGATCTTCTCCCTGAATTGTGCTACCATTTGGAAGCCTCAGTATCTCCCTATCTCTATCCATGTTCCCAGCCGGCCTTGTGGGAGTGTTTGCCCGTACATCAGGCTACAATCAAAAACAAAAAATCTTTTAATGTTGAGGATGTCGAGCTGGTTCCAAGCATACAGTCGGATGAAAGATATGAATTGAGGTGAGGAAGCACGCAGCCTAGCCAAAGATTAGCATCAAGTAGAAGGAAAGCGAAATATACCGTGTCTATTACAGGAAAAAGATATCTTTAGAGGATACTTCAAAAGCAAGTATCTGTCCAGTTGCTTATAAGTTTGAACAAAAAGGCAAGTATTAAAAACACCTCCCGATAAACTCTACCTTGGCATCTCACTCCACAAACAAACAAATGAAGTTTTAGCATAGGAAGAAAGACCCTATCTGAATGCTAATAATATCCAACTTTTTAAATTTTTATTTTTTTGAGACAAGTATCCAACTCCATTAGTTCATTTATTAATATTAACCAGCATTTTAGCAAGAAATGGTAGATCCAATTTCAACACCCAAAATTATTGAGCTTCATTAGGTAGTTACTGTGTTTACCCACATTTAGCTGATCTTACCTAGTAATAAAGAGCAAAGTAAAGGAAGACTCTCTCCTAAATGAGACACTCCTCTAGCTTATTCAGCAATATTATTGCAGGAACAGGAGATACATAGAAGATTGCAAAGCGGAATCAATCAAAAGGCCAGCAATATAGACAAAATACCTCAGAAGAGTGAAGTTAAATCAAGGTAAAAAAGATACAAATAAATTACAAAATAATGATACAAACCCTAACATCCGCCATAGAAGTTCGAGTGCGTTTATTTGGAGCAGCAGTTTTAACTCTTTCTTCAGACTTTTGTTGCTCCAACTCATAACTACTGACAGTACAATGACTCTGCGTACCCGTTTTACCAATGCTTGTCCCTGAAACTGACCGATCACTTGGGAATAATGTAACGTGTCGGTCATTTGATAGGGAATCAGACCGAGATCTCTTCCTTGATGGGATGCTTGGAAAGCATTTGTTGAGCACAGATAAACATTCGGTGAATATCTTCACACGTTCCCTGGTATGTCATGGATTTATATGAGTACAATATCTCTAGAAAAACTAGTTGACTAGGGAAAGCATATACAAAAAGAACACAGTATCCAAGCAACTACCTAGCTTTAGTGCAGCTTTCACGAAGACCAGCCTTCAGCCGTCTGGCCTCCTCCGCAGAGGGAGAAGGAAACAGTTTGCCTTTAGAAGACACCAATGGAGAATCCTCCACTGGCACACCTAAAGCTAAACTGGTGAGCCGCTTGAAATCAATATTCCGATTAAGTTTGTGGTCAGTAACCATAGCTTTTGGATCAAAACGTAAGCACTGGAAAAAGTTAACGGCATCTGTACGTGTTACTGTTGAAGTACTTCTCGTCATGTTTGGAAGAGAAGATAAGATTGGATTCTCCATGTTCTCACGGAAGCTACCCGACCTATCCAGTGAAGCAGGTGCATAGGATCCACGCTGCCCAGAGGCATACAGTGGCCTATCTGGACTACTGGAAGATAGATCAAATTTACTAGATGCTGACATTGCATCAATTTTCTGACACTCTTTGTGTAACCCACCCAGTGAACACAGCTGTGCATGGCACTGCTCTTCAACAACAATGCATGAAAACCAGCTCAATGTCCTAATAAATGTGTTCTGAATGCAGTACTCCTGCAAGGATACCATCATGAGAACATGAAACCCACAAGTCCAAGACTAACGAAAAGCTGACTAACCTACTAACGGCTCTAAGTCCGGAGCAATAAAGTATGTCTGTTGTGTGTGTTTACACGTGTATATATATAAGCTCAGCAAGAAAACCAAAATCTGCCGACAATAACAAACGCCATAAGGATGCACATAAATGTCGAAACCACTAATTAGAAACTCAATAAATGAATAACTCGACAAACTTGTTGTCGACGTGAAATATTCTTGCATTCCAAGAGCTGCTATACACAAACTACTATTCACTTTTTAAAGTACTCAACCAACAAAAAGCTGAATACTGCCAGCACTCAGCAGTGGACAAAACAAGCGGTGAGACTCATATCCGATTATTAAATAATACTAATAAATTTTGAATTCAGGGCAATGTTGCTGAACAAGGTCCACTGATACTTCTTCTGCTACATTTACTATAATTCTTTTAATAGCCTGCAGTTTTTCTTTTGTTGCACTTCCCAAGTTCAACCATAACATTCATCAAGTGGCAGACAATTTTAAGAATCTTATCAAATTCAACCTTAAATCTACTTTCTATTTTGAAAATATGCTATTAATATCAAAATAAATAAAACAAAAACAGCTCAGCAAATAATAATTCTACTGTGATCAAAGACTCAGATTTGACAGCCACAATTCTGGACAAAATGCCAAAAAGATAAAAATATAAACAAAATTCGACAAATTTAACAAAAAAGCAACAAAAGTAAATATAATATACTTTACCTGGCAGCTTAAACTGTATAAATACACTAAAATCTCAAACAACGACGTGATCTGTACAGCCTTGGATACGAAAATTCTGAAACAAATAATTTTAAAAAAATTAAAGTAGCTCGGGGTTCAATTAGGGTTTTGACAAGTTCGATTTTGTAAAAAAACATAATAATTAGCTCAAAAGGAAAGTAAAAATAGAAAAGGAATATCGTACACATTCAAAAACGAAATGAATATTCAGATATAAATTTGTGTATCATATATTCGCATGAAATAAATATAGAAAAAAAATTATTACATTGGCGGAAGGTCGAAAGAGTCGTTGATCGGTGGAAGGAGGTCGGTCAAGCAACAACGTGGATCTTTTTTTCGTTCATTCGCCGGATTTTAGCCCGAAATTTGATTTTCTTAAGCCCGAAACTGACAAATGGACCAAATGGCTTTTGCACCTACATTTTGGGCCTCGAATTTTAATCCACTAGCCCATTTTATTGGGGATCAGCAAACTATTTAGCTATCCCTATCTTTCTCCCTACCCATTTTTTAAAAAATAATTTTACCTCCTATAACAAATGTATACACCCTATTTATTATAAATCAAAATTATTTTAAAATATTATTTTCTATAGCTAACTTTTATATTTTATAGCAAAATAAGTATTTTATGGTATATACTGCCATTGAGGCATGAAATACGTTATTTATGTTTTTCCTCTCTCTTAGACAGCTGCACATACCTATTTTTAAGGGATTGTCGTTACTGTATTCATGAATACAAGGCGCGAATACATGTGAATACATGCGCGTACAACTGTATTCATGAATACAGCGACGCGAATACATGTGAATACATGCGCGTACAGCTGGACTGCCCTGATTTTAGGCACTTTTTGTTGTTGTATTCATGAATACATGGCGCGAATACATGTGAATACATGCGCGTACAGCTGGACTGCCCTGATTTTAGGCACTTTTTGTTGTTGTATTCATGAATACATGGCGCGAATACATGTGAATACATGCGCGTACAGCTGGACTGCCCTGATTTTAGGCACTTTTTGTTGTTGTATTCATGAATACATGGCGCGAATACATGTGAATACATGCGCGTACAGCTGGACTGCCCTGATTTTAGGCACTTTTTATTATTGTATTCATGAATACAACAGCGTGAATATATTTGAATACATGCGCGTACAGCTGGACTGTCCTGATTTTAGGCACTTTTTGCCGTTGTATTCATGAATATATGACGCGAATACATGTGAATACATGCGCGTACAGCTGGACTGCCCTAATTTTAGGCATTTTTTGCTGTTGTATTCATGAATACAGCAGCGCGAATACATGTGAATACAATACCGTAACAACTGAATAGTAGTTATATGAAGTAATTATGTATATGGTAGCTATATGAAGTTAATAGTCACTAAACAATAGTGGTTTCTGAAAATTCCTTTTTTTTTTAATACCTAACCCTTCCAACCAAATAAAGTCAAGGTAAGCTACTAAAATCAAGCCAAGCCAAGCCAATTCACTCCAAGCTAAGCCAAACCACGCCAAATCAAGTCAAGCCAAGCCAAATCAATTCAATCCAACCAAGTCAAATCAGGTTATGTTAGGTTGGGTAATTAGTTTTAATTGGGTAGGTATATATTGTAACTAGTTTTCAAATGAATAGAGAAGGGTAATTAGTTTAAGCTCAATGGGTATTTTGCATAAATTGCTCCATTTTATTTCTAAAGAGAAAATTGCATGAAATAATTGTCTTTAGCTGTTTTTATTGCTTGTATTATTTGATTCGTTAACTCTGTCACTAATATTAGTGATTATTGTAATTATGTTGGATATGAATGTCTTCAAAAACAAAAAAACAAAAAAAAGAAGTTAAAAACTTGTTTTCAAATATGATATTATTAAAAACACTTTATGTTGTCGTATATATTTAACTAGTCTCACCATAGGCACGCTACATATGCAACTCGTCTCAATGAGGATAATATTTTTTAAAAGAACGCATAAGTAATATATCAAAAATTTGTATTTGAGTTAGTATAAAATAAAGTTTGAAGTAAAAGTATAAGTTATTGAAAATGATGATTATTGATCTTATTTAACTAACCATATAAAGAAACTCTGCCTATAGAAGTCTTTAATCATCTCAATTAATATGTTCGACTCAAAATTTATTTCATTTTTATAACCCCATTACTTCAATTTCACAAAATATCTTACTTCCTTTTTAGTTTTCACAAGAATGTGTAAGAGTTCTTTTTAAAAAGAATAAGAAAATTAATGTTTTAGGTTAATTGCGGAAAACACAAACATGATCCGCTAACTGGCCTAAGACATCTATTTTTTTCCTGTCAAGCAAAATATAAATTATTTGTAACGACTCGATCGGTCATTTTTGAGCTTTAGCATTCCGTTATGTGGTTTAAGGTCTTGAATAGATTTATATCATGTATTATGGCTTGCATGTATGGTCGTTTTCGGTTGTCGAGGGATTCAGGGTTGATTTGAAAGAATGATTCTCATTTTAGAAGTTTTAAGTTGGAAGAATTGATCAAGTTTGACTTTTATGTAATTGGTCTCGGATCGGAGTTTTGATGGATCTGTTAAGTTCAGATGGTGATCTTGGACTTAGACGTATGCCCGGAATTGAATTCGGAGGTCCCTAAGATGGTTTGGCTTGTTTTGTCGAAAGTTGGCAATTTGAAGGCTTAGAAATTTCTTAAGCTTGTGACCATGGTTTGACTTTATGGCTATCAAGTTCGGATTTCGATTTTTGGTTATTTTTTAGAACTTGTAGAGTTTCATTGTAATTTTCTTCGATTCGTAATTTCGGATGTTATTTTAGTATTTTCATCGCGTGAACGAGTTCATATGATATTTATGGACTGGTGTGAATATTTGGTTTGGAGCCCCGGGGGCTCGGATGAGTTCCGGGTGCGTGTTAGAATGTTTGAGTGAGTTTCAATTTTGTTGGTTTTTGGTCTAATGCTTCAGGTCTCACAAATGCGAGATCTTGTCTGCATTTGCGAACCTCGCTTTTGCGAGGTGGGCTGAGGGATTGCAGAGTTCACTTTTGCGAACTTGGGATCGCGTTTGCGATTAGGACTCCTGGGCAGGGAAGGTCGCATTTGCGATCAACTTATCGTTTTTGCAGAAGGGGAGGACTTCGCAAATGCGAAGTTTGTGTCGCATTTGCGACATCCCCTGAGTTCAGCAGGCATCGCTTTTGCGATGCATTCTTCGCATTTGCGAACCCCATATCGCATTTGCCACTCCTATAGTTGAACATAAGGGTTGAATTTCGGGACTTAACTTCATTTATCATAATTTAGAACCCTAGATTCGGTGGGAGACGATTTTGAGATTTTCATACCAAACCATTGGATAAATGATTTATATCCAATTTCAATTGTAATACATGATTGTTTATGAGATTTAACATCCAAATTATGAGATTTGAAGGGGATTTTTGGGGATTTTTTACTTTGTTTAAAAAATAAAAATTTAAGATTTGAGCGTCGATTTGGATTCGGATTAAAAAATAAAATACATATATGAATTCGTGGGGTTATGGGTAGTCGAGATCTACCTTTGAACTCGGGTTTTGACTGGGCGGGCTTGGGGTTGGCTATTGGAAAATTGTGTAATGATCTTAACTTTGTTAATCAAAATTAGTTTCTCTCGCATTACTTGATGATATTAAGACACTTTGGGGTTAGATTTGAGTCGCATGGAGGTGAATTTTAAAGGAAAATCTATTTTTATGTGTTGATTTGGCCTAGTTGAGGTAAGTATTGCCTAGCTTTGTATGGAGAAAATTACCCCGTAGGATTTGGTTTAGTTGCATTATTTGGATTATATGGAAGACGTGTACATAATGTGATGAGTGTGTACACAGGCTTATATATGAAAATTGACCGATTATGACTCTTAGATTACTTATATGCATTTAATTGAAGTTGTTATTGCATGTTATATCTTTCATTGTCGAGTTTATTCTTATATGAATTTAATTGAAGTTATTATTATATGTTATATCCTCCATTATAGAGTTTATTCTTATATGCATTCAATTGAAATTGTTATCACATGGAATATCTTTCATTGTTGAGTTTACTCTTATGCCTTTAATTGTAGTTATTATTACATGTTATCTCTTCCATTGTTGAGTTATTCTTATGCATAAATTCGTAATTGTGATCATACACTTGCACATGCATACACTGTAACATGTCATCTATAATAGTCCAGGAGTATAAATCTTGATGTTCATTGATCATGTGCATGTATTCTTGTATATCTGCCTTCTGTGTGTGGATTAGACTGGTAACACATGAGTTGTTCGTGCGGATATGAGATATTGTTACTAAAGGCACGTAAATTATCCGTGCGGATATGCGATACTAATGTTATTGGCACGTGAGTTATCCATGCTATTGTGATCGATAATATGGACACAAGATGCCATATGTATATGATTTGTGATTTGGAACTCGTGATTTGTGATAGTTGAGGTGTGGTACCTCGGGGTGATTCTTGTTGTGATTCCTCTGGCGGAACAGTTTGATGATTAGAACTGTCATTATTTTTTCTTAATTGCTTTCACTTGTGTATTATATGTGTTTTGATTATTTTGTCACATGATTACCCTTCTTTGCCATTTATTACTTTGTTTTTCCGCTTGTTAGCTTTATATTGATATTCTGCACAGGTTTATTTGTCTAGTATGTGTCTTGACTTGAACCTCATTACTACTCCACCGAGGTTAGTCTTGATACTTACTGGGTACCATTTTGGTGTAGTCATACAACGCTTCTGCATATTTTTGTGCAGATTCAGGTACCTCGGAGCATGCCGGATGTTAGTTAGCTGCTTGTGATTTCTTGCGGAGACTTCAAGGTATACTTGCCATTGCGTTCGCAGGCTTCAGAGTCACCTTCTGTTGTCTTTAATTACTATTGTTTATTTGCATTCCAGAAAAGTATTGTATTTAGAGATTTTAGTATACTCGGTAGAGCTTATGACTCTGTACTACTGGTTTTGGGGTTGTATGACTGATGTTTGGTTCAGCTATGTCATTTAAATTATCATTTAATAATTTACAGTTAAGTTGGTTAATTCTATTAATTCTCAGCATGGGTTAGGCTTACCTAGTCCTAGGGACTAGGTGCCATCACGATCCTTAAGGTGGGATTTTAGGTCGTGACATTATTCTATTTTCTGGATCAATGATAAATAGTATGGGAATGTTTCAAATAGATTAAACTAAAATAAATCTCTATTGCAAAAGAAGAACGTTGCATTTTGATTAATTTAAGCTTTTTTATTTTCGAACGAACTTTTATGTTACGACCCAATATCACACTCAGTCATAATGACACCAAACTCAACATGCTAGGTAAGCCCAACAGT